ATTGAGCCCTTACATAACAGCTTTTGGTTTGAATCCCGCATTGTAACTAACACAAGGTTGCTTGTGCACACAATTATGCAGGTCTTGCTTCATCATTAAAGTTGGAAAATTGCCAAGTGACCTTTACTATGCAGTAATGAATTAAATTCAACAAAAAATACCCACACACCAAACAACAAGAAAGACCCTGAAGTTAGTAGGTCTAACCCAGGATGCAGATTGCATTTACCACTTTCAGTTCATAACTTATCTCATTGAATTTCACATTCCTATTGAATTATGATTTTTGTTTTTGTAATTTACTTTTTGTGTTTATATTATATATTTTCTTAATTCATAAAACCATATCAGTTATGTATAAATCTTGCATTTGTGATACATACATATGATTATATCCATGTGCTCGACTTCTGTTCCAGACATAAATGATTGATGTCTAATTATAGTAACATGTATGATTCATATCTTCTTATAGTGACAAGGTTGACATCAGATCTATTTTAATCAGCCAATCATTTGGGAGTCAAGTAATGAAAACTTATGTCTACTAAATTCTGTCTAAATTGTTCCAATTTTTATGAATTTATTTATAGCAATAACTTTCAGTTTTCAATTACATAGCCATTCTGATTTTAAGTCAACTGCATTGTAATTTAAGGAATATTTATATGAATGAAATGATCAAATTCTAAATTAATATGAACTTTAATTTCAAAATTATTAGTATTGTCATTTTATTTGTATTCGTCAACCTACATTTATATATTCTCCACAAATTTGGTTCAAGATTTTGCTGATTTATATACTAGATAAATGACTGCATTTAAATATCATTCTTTTTATCTATATTTCATGGTACCATAGGGGAACAATTTAAATTTTAATAGAAGGAATTATTAGAAGTGTGATACTTAAAGGAACTCCATGGCATTTTTTTGACATGACGGGACTAGTAATTTTTCGAGATTAATGATTCATTTGGTGTAGGTCTAGACCAATAACTTGGGTGCAAAATTTTAGATCATTTTAGCTCATTCCGTTTTTCAAGAACACAATTTAAAATTGTTGAAAATGGTCCTCTCAAATTTGGTAAAATGTAGCATAAAAAATACGAAATTTATGATTATTTCTGATAATATTTCTTAATCATCTTTTGAATATCTTTTTGTTGTAAGTGCCTAAGTTGAGAAAATCGAATTTCAAGTTTTTGGGCTCCTGGACCTTGGTGGAGTCCCTTTAAGAATCTGCCATCAACTGCTGGTACAAGAATATTTTATGTATTAAACTACTGGAATATTTTGCTCACAGGTTACTAATTTAAGGCTGTAATGATGTTCTGCTGGGTTTTCTAAGCAGATACCTTAGAATCATATATAACTGTCTGTAATGACAGCAAGTGTTTGACTATTTTTCTTGCATATTGCATATTTGTTATAGTAAATAAGAAAGAAATTACAAACATTTGTTATAGTAAATAAGAAAGAAATTACAAACATTAATATTTGGTATTTGGCTCTTCTTTCGTACACTTGCATATGAAGGTCATCTTAAGCGCATATAAATACAGTCATGTACTATATATGTATGTAATAATATTGCAAGAAAAGCAGTTGTCATAGCAGTACTACTCACAGATATCCCAGACATCACTTCAATGCACTCTGACCAGATTTTGTACTCTTTCCTGGTCAAGTTAAATACAAAGTTTGTCTTTGGAAACCCTTTCATTGATAATGAACAATTCAAAATCCAAAGTAGAGCAAATCCATTACACAGATTCAGCAGGGTTTAATTAAAAATTAATGTAAATTTTGAAACAAATTGAATTGTCACAATATCAATGATTTCTGATCAATGTTTTATGAAGAACTAGATCTAGTTACAGTTAAACTTGTGATTAAAAGTTTAAGACCACCTATCATCATAATTATACTATTATTTGTTTGCATTGATGTGTCCATTAAGACAGGGTTGACTGTATGTTATATGTGGTGGACCATACAGTGGTTTTGTATTTTAAGTACGAAAAAAGCCATACATAATTTATATGACTGTGATTTTTTTTACTGTAACATTAAGATTTGGTTGTCATTTTCTATCTGCTGTCAGCTTTGGGACATTTGAACACATACGTATTTTTGATTGCTGGGTACCATACAAATTGTGCTTGTTTTTGATTGCTAGGTACCAGGGTTGATTTTGATACCAATAAAGTGTTGTTAATATACTGTATTTATATTTCCATATCTTAACAAGTGACTTAGATAAATACAATTCAACTTTGTGCTTTTCTTTATTGTTGATGTTGTAATTTAGATTAAAACTTGTTTAATTTATCATATATAATATGTATATAAAAGTTTGTGTCGTATTTAAACAGAATGGCTTATATGAATTACGCATTGCATATATGTCTATTTTGAATGAATATGGAATATACTTGACGAGGAAGTGAGAATTTTGAAGTCTTTTCAACAGCTTATGATAATGCTATTGAAATACTATAAGAGCTGAAAATACATGTATTTTCAAATTCATAAAAAATCTTAACTTTATGTGATATCTTTATTATTTATATACATGTGAAAGGAAGTGGCTTTGATTATGTGTTGCCGATAGATTGCAATATTTTTTTTATGTAATATGAAAATTATAATGTGATAAAGTTGTTTCCACAGTCATGTCAGTGCTTATGCATTATTTGTAATATCATTATTAAATGATATGCATGAATAATTGAAATGTATAAAAAAAAAAATTGCATTTTTTCAGATTGTTAACCTTTTTGCACAAACAGTTTAATGCTAGTTGTGGTAATTGCTTTAACCAAAGTGCAGTCAGTATAATGTAAAAGAGTCAGAGAGAGTGAGTGAATATTTTTTGTGGGGTGTTTTCCTTGGCTACATAAATTTTAGATTGAATGACAATTTAACAGAACAGAACAGAAGTTTTTTCAACAAAATTGACTTGAACACATATCTATCAATTACAGTACTTAGAACAATAAAAGATATTTTGTTAGTTTATTTATATACAGATTGATGGAAAATGTTAAAAGTGTAATGTAATGAAGAAAGAGCATTAAAAATGCATTAACTCACCCACAAATCGAGCACCCTTATAAGACGTGTTTATAGTAAATGACAGAAAAAGAGAGCTCTCAACATCTTTTACTATTTCCTTATTTTGACTTTCTCATATGCTGTTTATTTTAGTATTGTATTTGTTTTCTTTTTTATATTGAAAGGGGAATGTACACTTGATGGATAAATTGATTCATGATTGATTCTGTTTGTTTGTTTAAATAAATAAATAAATATGACATACTGTCAAATAACTGTATTTTCAGCATATTTTGTATGGTTGGGTTGAAGCTTATGTTTTGATGTGAGTTTTTATGAATTTGTATTGAATGTTAAGCTCATTTTCTCTGTCATATATTCTTGTGCAACAATTGCTATAAATCTTTCCTGAATTTAAGTTTTAGAATATGTCTTTTACCAGCAGCTGTTACAATAAAAAAAATGGGACACTTCAGTTGTTATACAACTTGAAACTTGATAGAATAAATTATCATTTTTCAAAAAAGAGGATAAGAGATTATTCAAAGTTGTGCTGATTTTACATGGTTTGACTAAGGACAGTTTCAATGATTTATTTATTAGAGTTTAGTGGGATTATAGTAATACTCATCTTTTCTAGTGCTGATAGTTAGTGCAATCTTTTAAATTTTATTTTTAATGCATAGACAATTTTTATATCTTTCTTTCTCTTTCTTTCAATTTATGGGAAACTTATATCTAAAGCTATATTTATAAGTATAGCTTGTATATATAGTGGTGCGTAGGGGATTTCGTTGAGCTCATCAAAATTATTTTGATTTGGTTCAATTTTTCACCCCACTCCTTTTTAGCTTAGGTCCACCATGTTCTTCTCCATTTTAGAGTTCTCTCACTTATATCAAGTACAATGTGTAGTAAAATTATGCAGACAATCAATTGCTAGGTCAAAGGATTATTATGATTATTACTGTTTTCCTTCATCATTTAAATAATAAATGTGTAGATACATGTACATTGTACTTGCATACATTAATTTTAAAAGCATATTGGTGGAAGCCAAAAAAGAAAGCCCTGAGAAAATTGTGATATTTCAAATTGTAACTTTTTAATGTTATATAAGCATGTTATATAAGCATAAACATGTACCTAATACTTGTAATTTCTTCAATTTTTATTGAAATAGACCTAGAATTGTAAAATGTAATTGTTACTTGCATTTTTTTGTTACCATATTGGTGAAGCCCTGTGAAAATGATCAAATTTTTTTAGAATATCTTTATTTAAAAAATGCTGGACTTGTGCAAACTCTGAAATAGACTATATAATTATATAGTGCTTCTAAATGATGCCTGCATGCAGAACAATTGTACTATAGAATGATTGTGATAATTTGGCTTTGTTATAAAATGTGTATTTGGCTTCTCATTTATTATGACATTATGTAATACTTTTTTGCACCTCATTGAGGGAAATAAAACATTTTTATAGAATGATTTATTTGTTGTTGTTTTTTTTATTTGTTAATTGCACTATGATTGAGGGCTTGTACCTGACATAATGCATGGCCCAGCACATGAGGTCCTCCTCCACCAGGAAAGTCTGACTAAGTCAAAATAGTTTGACCTCCAAAATTTAAGATATAGTAATTTTGGTCAGGGAAATAAATTGAGACAAATCCAGGCTTTGCAGAATATGAATCTTTATAAAATATAAATTCAATGGGTAACTGTTCTATAAACAAAGCACTATATGAGGATACACCCCTACAATTGTAAATGTATTATATTTACGGTTACCACAGGGGACTCTGTCATTTTTTTCTTTCCTGTATATTTATAATAGATTTAATAGAATAAGGACAGATTTCCCTGTGATAATTACGGGCATTATTTATAAAAAAACATGAAGATATGTTATATGCTAGTTAAGCATTTAGAATTCTGGAGTCAGTGGAAATTAACACCTCACTTCATCATCATTGCTTTCAAATGGTACTTCATTTATTTTTCGCATAGGACAATTTATACGAGGAGAAAATAACACTGACACAAAAATGTGAAAATGGATTTGACAGCTGTAGTTTGCGTGCTTGCATTTATCATCATTGTCAGGTTTTTAAGTCGATCTGACCCGCCAAAAATTAATGGAATTTATTCTCAACCGAATAAGTGGTATTTGATGAAATTCATGATTTTTAAATTTTTGTTATGGCTTAGAAAACTAGAGAAAAATAAAAAAGTTACAGGTGAAAATGCTGGGATGGGAAGAAAATCGAGAAATTCTCCGGAAGATATGGACAAAGTTCAACTATTACCAAAGGAGCATCCAAAGGTTAATAATTTCTGCATTTATTTATAAGTATTTGGTCGCTACAAAATTCAGAAAGTGCAAGTGAAGGTAAATTGATAAGATACATCATCCGATCAAGGTTAAAATCTAGACCGGTGTCGATGTAACAAGATACCTAGACTGTTTAATCCTACCGGTATCGAAATTAAAAATTATGTATCATTTTTTGTCTTTCACGATAACTGTCCCGGTATTTAATATTTATTTTAACAATATATATTGTAGGATTGTTTTGATTGCCCAATTAAATCGGCTTTTGGTTTGTCGTGTAGCAGAAAACAAGTGAAAATTACAGATATCATTATTCAACAAGTAAACAATTTATCATTAAAACAGGCTGTGGATGCAGTATACCTTACTGGAAGTAACAAAGAAGGTCAGTTCCTGGTCACGGCAACAGCTAGACGCCATGACAATCATGTCCAAACCATTGTCTATCTTAGAGTAAGTCAAATATGTACAAATAATATAGGCATACATTACACCCGTGGATGCTTATATGAAGATGACAATTAATTTGCAAATCATGTCACAAATATTAATGAGCCACCATGACATGTCAGCCAGGACATTCTGTGGAATGTCCTGGTCCAACTCCTTAGACTTGAGATATATTTTAAACGGGCAATGTCTTTTTCCTATGGTTTGACAGTAAGAAAAAATTAAATGGGTTAAACCATTCTTGCTTAATTAATTAGGCTATGAAGTGTCCAATCTCATTCTCAATGTATTCTGTTGGCTGTTTAATTTCCTTTCTTTAATTCTTTATCAGCAAGATTCAAATGAATGTTATATTATCAAAATTACTACATGTATAATATTTATAGAAAAAGAAATGGGTCATTATTAATATTCTTTTGTATTTGACCATTTTGTGTAGCTACCTGATTTAGGATTTCTCGAGCTTCCATCTATGCCGGACACCTCTCTACGTGGGACCATGGAAAATGAGTTCGCTGCTGGTGGGTTACATATCAGTATGGTAGAACCAATGAAAACTTGGAGTATAAAGTTTGATGGGAAACTTAGGTATTAGAACTGTACAACAATCTTTATTCAACTATTTGAGAAAGCTGGAAGTATTAATAAAGTGGCATATAACATCACTAGTATGGTGCATCCATGGCTAAGTGGTTAAGGTGGTTGACTTTAAACCATGGAATTGCCCCAACACTACTGTGGGTTCAAATCCCAGTGATTCGAAAAACAGGGATTTTGGATTATTTCATGTGAGGAAGTTGTCCAGCTAGCCTAGCATTGGTGGTTCTACTTGGGTGCACATTCATGCCTGAAATAATTTATGGAAGGGCACTTGTAAAAGTTGCCATATTACTAGTACTGCATTGGTGCAACTTAAAAGCCAAACAAGCCCCCCCCCCCCCCCCCATACCAGGATTGATTGTTGAAGTATTATTCCATATAATCTGTGATTCAAAATAGTTTATAAATAACAACATTTATGTGCACATAAGTAATTATGTATATGTAAACTGGGTTTCGACCACCTAATAGATCTGGTATAAATCTTAAATAACAACATTTTATAATATATGGTTTCACATTAATATATTATTTTCATTGTACAATATATCTACATTGTAAATTATGATAATTGATCCAAACAGCCAGTTATATTAAAGATTTTTGACAGGTTATCATATAATCGCCCTCAAGATTTTTGACAGGTTATATGGCCCTATATATAAACAGTTGTTTGGAAGTATATATTACAAACAACTGTTTATAGTTAAGACCAAAGTATTTATAACAAATTTATATTAAAGCATTTTTAGCACTCTTTTTTTAGAGAAAAAAGTAAGATTTCTTAGAAAATTAACAGCAGTTGTGTATAATTATAAAACTATAATGTCATGATTATCCAATGAAAAGCAATGTTTCAAACATGCAGTGTTATAAAAGACATATGAAGCACAATTTTTAAATAATAGAAAATGTTATTTTTGTATTTTGATATTTTTCCATCAGACAAGTGTCTTTGGGGAAGTTGCTAGATGTGAAGTTTGATTTGACATGGAGAGCTTGTACCAAATTCTTCGATTTTGACACAGACCTTCATCCCGACGTTCTATGTGACGCTATTGCACGAGAAACTTGGTCAAGACACTTCTTTAACACATTAAAAACGTAAGTTGTGACTTTTGCAAAATCAAAATAAATGTACTTTTTTATATAAATTTACTTTATTATATTTGTTTGTTCTAAGTTACACTGTTAAAGTCATGTGACAATTGTTTATCTTTTTCATCTGTCGATAAAATTACTAAGAGCCTTTCAGGAAGTTGGCAGGCATCTGAGTTCTACCACAGCAGGCTTCACAACTACCTCAAATGAAAGAGTTCAAATTTATTAGCTTGATTTAACTAGCAGCTGTTAGGGACAAGTGAATATGGGTCAGTGACCTAAACTGTTCATTTACCTATGACCTTGTGTTGTTTTCTTTTTCTTTTCTTAGGTCTTTTGGGGTTATTGGATGTAATTCTAAGAAGTGATGAAATTTGCACTTTTTTTCTGTAATTTTCAAAGCAATTCCTTTACAAGAAGTTCCAATTGAATATACGTCTGAAATAATTCATCAGAGTTACTTGTGGTGGTGCTGGTAGTTTACCCTCTGGGTCACGGCAGTAAGACACATCTGGGTCTTTTAAATACATGAAGAATATTTTAAAGAAGACCCTGGCCACATTGAATAGTTGATTGTAGATGATGTACATAGAACCAAATATTTTTTTTGTATTGTGATTTAATTATATATATTTTTTCTCCCCCCCCCCCTTTCAAGGGTAAAACTATATGTTCTTGTCTGTCTGTCTTGCCCCTGTCATGTTGTCTGTCTGTAGACTGTGTCTAAACAGTGGACAGTGGGGATGTTTGTTATAAATTTATAAATATATTTCAGTATACATCAGACACACTATGAGCAGTTTGGAGACACAACAGGCACAGTTAATATAGAGGGCCATGATACTGTTAATATTAATATACGAGGTGTTCGTGACCACTCTTATGGTAGACTATTTGTTTATACATACATGGAAAAATAGGAATATTTTTTTTTAGCAAAAATTTAAAAAGCTAAATTTTGAATATTGGATATTTATTATGTAGCATATTGTCTTACTGAGCCTCTACAAAAGTATTAATGCCATGACCAGCTGGGTAAACATGTCCTTATATATGGTTTTATATTTGTTACCCTAACTCATGTTGAACAAAAAAATATGCTTCAAGTTTTCCTTTTTGAAACTGAAAAATTCAAAGCTCAATTTATTTTGAAACATATTCTCTAACTACAAGATCAAAAGGAATAGACCTTTGATTTACTTGACCATTAACTTACATATAATATAGCTACACAACATATAATATAGATACATAATACTGTACATGTGTAATAGGCCTTTCCTCTTGTCATTTCAAATTCATTATTATTTAGTACGAAAAATTGTTAGTTTTCAATGACAGTAATTTTAGTATTTAGTTTTCAGTGACAGTAATTTTAGAATTTTTAAACCATTTTTCTGACTGAATTCTGCTGAACTTATTGATGGTAATTTTTTTTTAAATGTAAAACAGCACCATATTGCTTATCAGTAGTTATTCTTCAAATCAATTTTGTTTTTTGTTACTGTATAATGTTTTTGCTTTGTTTTAGGTAATATTCGTAACTGGCGGCAGTTACATCGTTATTGTATACAATATGCCAATTTTCCTGACGGAACAAATCTCTGTTTATCAGCTATATCCATGCCAGCTACCATGTCCAGGTGAAATCTTTATTAAAAAAAAATAAATAAATTGGCATGTATTGATGTAACATGGCCCTGTATAATGGTGGTAAGCTTGTATAGCATGAGCTGTAAAGTAATGTATAATATATTTAATAATCAGCTATTAAATATGATCAAGTAACATGCCAAAAGTCTTTGTAACAAGTTTATGTGAGGAAGCTATCCAGCTAGCTTATGGAATGTTGGTGGTTCTACCCAGGTTCAGGTACCTGTTTGTGCCTGAAATAATAAATAATGCACAGAAGGGCACCTGAAGTCTTCCTCCACTGGTAGATTTGGAATGTCACCGTATGACTTATACTGTGTTGGTGCAATGTAAATCCCAACCAAAAAATAAAAGATAATAATCATACTGTACAAAAAAAACTGCTCTCTTTGTTAAAGTGTAGAAGTATGTTCATGCATAAGTTTGCAGCAGATGTATATATAGACAAAAATACACATAATTCGCAAATGATGTTGACAAAAATTGATGAAACAAAAATGAATATATTATAGTTACAAAAAAAAGAAACATTTGCATAGTTAATGTAGGTTTCAAACCTACTGTCAGATTCATTTACAAAGAGTGCAAAAAATAGATTAAAAAAATAATGATAGCAGATACATTATTTTGGTAGATCTATGTAAATTATAAAATCTTTTTATATTTCATAGAGAAACACTAATTCTAAATCAATCTTTTTGGTATGAAAATGTTGTTTGTTGTTGTTTTGTTTTATTGAAGTATCAATTTGTAACTGTAACTCTTTATTTTCCCAGATTACACTGTGGATTTATCTTTCATCCATCTGGAGAAATGGACACAGTATCCTGGCATGACCTGGAATTTCATAACCTAGGGGATGACGGTACTCCATCAACTAACTTTACTGTTAATTTTAAAGCAGGTATTTTCATAGTTTGTATTTTCTATCTCATTACATAAAAGACAACTACACATACTATAGCACACAGCCAAACATGTAAACATTTTAGTACTGGTACTTTAAGTAATACATTCCAAATTGATACCTTGGCCTCAATGTTCATCAAAAATGATCATAGAATAAAAATTTAATCATACAAGAACAATATCATGTTAAAATTGACGTGTTTAAAACACATTTATGTATTAAATATTTCTCTTATATACATGTATTAAACTATTTAACGTCTGATCTCGTTCTAAAATTCCATTTTATGAAGTATTTCACTAATTATTTTTGTCTCATTTACGGGACACCCATTCTTCTGTTTTTAGGATCATAAGAAGCTTTTCATGAACAAAATTTCAGATGCCTATTTTAATGCATGTATCTAAAATATTTTGAAGAGAGTTGAGTAATTTCTATAGACTAAAATTTGTGGCAAACAAAACACCTCAATTATTTGTTTTTCAGGAGAACAGCAAAGAACACTGAAGGTTGTTGTCATAGAAACAAGACAGTTTTATATAGGAGATGGAAGGGATGCTAAAATTTATGAGAGATATGCCAGATATTTCTTAGATGGGATGGAAGGTTATGGACTCAGCAAATGGGAATATTGGTAAAAAACTATACCCAACTTTTACATTATTTAGGACTCAATCAGAGTGAACATTTTCAATTTTGCCAATTTGGGCAAACTGATAGGTTACCTGATCTGCTATGACTAAAGCATGTGTAGCTGAGTGGTTAAGGCTACTGTCTTTAAATGACTTCCACCTTTTTGCTTTAGGTTTGAATCCTGTCAAGGACTTTGGTTATTTCTTGTGAAAAAGCTAAGCTCTGTAAGCTTGTTAGCCCTCTGTCTAAAGGTTAATTGTCTATCTGTCAGTCTCTCTGTCCATCCGTAAAAAAATGTGTCATGTAATCAGTTTTGCATAAGTACTTGGAACCGTTCAAACAAATTTACTGTAAACAGAATCTAGAGAAAAGTTGAAATATTAGTTTATAAATAGTGATCCTTAGAAAATTTGATCTTTTGGATTATCTGTTGTATAAACATAATTTCCTTATTAAGCAAGGAAACTTAGCACATCATGATAATTCAGACAAACCCTGATGATTTATCTAAAAAGTCAAAAGTTCAGTATGATTTACAAAATGGCATAACTGAAAGGTCATAGACCTTCAGAATATTACTGATATATTTCTTGCAGGATTCTAACTTTAAGGGGTTTTTTGTATTGCTTGAAATACTTTAAGAATTGCTTGTTTGGTTGGTGGTTATTCTTAAGTGCCAACTTGTGATTAACATAATGCTTAACATAATGCACAAAGGGAACTCCATTAGTATGTAGATCTTTCATCCTTGTTAAAAATATTTAGTCATGCAATTTGTATGGCTTTTGAAGACAAAGAGATGCATGAATTTGTTGGTTGACTAAGAATCGCTTTCCCTTTAAGGTATTATGACCCTAATGGGCACCATAAGGAACCAAAAAATTGACATCATAGGTCAGATATATACCTTAAAGTACACCTGTATGGACAATTTAAACAAAGTTTACCGTACGGAAATCAAGTTAAGGCCACTTTTCTGAACTCTAGCTAGGATGTTATGAGGGCCCTTTTTTAGAAATGAGGAACCTTTAAATAATCTGCAATAACATTCTAATGAAAAATGTTTTCCCATTAATTTTTTGTAAGAAACAAAAAGTACCGTTCAGCTAACAATCCACGTAAGCAAAATTATGGTTTCTACTTAAAATTTATGAAATCTATATAAAAATGTTACCCTACCCCATCCATTTTTACCACGTGTCTGACCATTTTCCTACTTAGGGAGCCTAATTTAAAAAATCCTTAAAATTTACCCAAATGACTGCCTGTTTTCAAAGTTTCCCTAAATTTTTAAAGAAGTATATTGGTTGATCTTGTAAAATATGAAATACTTTTACCGTCTAGTTTTGATTTTATTACACTTTGAAAATATCAGGTACCATATTTATTACTAGAGTAGCATTATCTAGCCAATAAATAGCTAAATAAATTAAAAAATCAAAATTAAACAATTTTTTCTTTTCAAATGGGACATGAGAGATACATAAATAATATTAAAAGAAAGAAAAAAAAATCCCCTTCTGGGGATTGAACCTACGGCCCTAATTTTCAATGTAGTTAACGGTAGTTCTAGCCTATTTGAATACTCTTCAAAGCGGAGGTAATGCATTAGGATGGTAATACCTTAAGATAGTTGGATTGAATCCTGCAAAGAGGTTGAAGAAAGTTATAAAGCCAGATGACAAAGGATCTTTCCATCTTATTGATTGCCAAATCATGCCTTAAATAATGCACAAAGTTGCTATATATATATATATATTCAAAGGTATGGAGCTACCCCAAGCCCCTAAAAAAAATTAAACTCATTGATTTGGCATTTTAAATGATAAATTACTTTTTTGATTTGATTGTTATTTTATAACAATACTTATAGAAAAAGATTATCATCAAGTATTAAAAGCAGATGATGTATAACCTTAAAATATTGTTTTGTTACCTTGATTTTTTTTCAGCAATACTGATGGTACTGAGCCAGAGAACAACATGGGATTAAATTATTGATAATTATCAGAGAACTAAGTACAAACTAAAGCATCTCCTTGCATATCAGACAGAATTATCTACTGTTTACAACGATGCTAAAAAACCTGTCTTACACCCCTCATGTAAGACAGGTTGTGTGATTTATATGATGTCATTGCCATGTGCCTATTACAAATGAATAGCATTCTTAGGACGACGTTATTGTGCCATTATGAATGAAGTTGTGAATTCATACGCTACTGCAAGGAAAAACTTCTGTGTAAATGTTAGTTTTGGTAATTTCTTTCAATAATGTAATTAATTAGTAGAATCAAACACAGGAATATCTAGCTGTCTGGTAACTACTCTGCAGAGCCTCGTCTACCACCGTAAACAGTTACCCTCGAGCTAGATATTCCGGTCTGTACCGGCAGCCTGTGACTAAGGCATCTCTTACTGCCTTTTTCAAGCATTGTAAGATAGTAAAATCTGTGGTGAAATTCATATTAATCTGAGGTGAAATTCAAAATAATCTTAGGTGAAATCAAGTTAATGAGGTAAAATTCAAATAAATCTGAGGTGAAATCAACTTTATATGAGGTAAAATTCAAATAAATCTGAGGTGAATTCAAGTTTAAATGAGGTAAAGTTCAAATAAATCTTAGGTGAAATCAGACTAATCTGATATGAAATCAAGTTTTGTTGTTGTTTTTTTGTGAATTATTTATTATCAGAAGATAGTAATGTCTGAGATGGACTGACAAAGATGAACTGTCAATGATGTGTGATATTATTTGTAATATTTTGACATATAAGTGTGACTTGTTTCTAACATTTTTTAGCTCACCTGTCACAAAGTGACAGGGTGAGCTTTTGTGATTGCTTTTCGTCCGGCGTCCATCGTCCGTCCGTCGTCCGTAAACTTCTACTTTAAATGACATCTTCTCATAAACCACCAAGCCAATTTCATCCAAACTTCACAGGAATGTTCCTTTGGTGGACACCTTTGAAAATTGTTCAAAGAATTAAATTCCATGCAGAACTCTGGTTGCCATGGCAACCAAAAGAAAAAACTTTAAATATCTTCTTCTAAAAAATCCAAAGAGCTAGAGCTTAGATATTTGGCATGAAACATCTTCGAGTGAGTGTCTACCAAGTTTGTTCAAATAAAAGCCCTGCGGTCAAAATTGGCCCTGCCCCAGGGGGTCATTGTTTTCCTTATATGCATATAGTAAAATCTTAAAAAATCTTCTTTTAAAGAACCCAAAGAGCTAGAGCTAAGATATTAAGCATGAAACATTCTCTAATGAGTGTCTACCAAGTTTGTTCAAATAAAAGCCCTGGGGTCAAAATTGGCCCCGCCTCAGGGGGTCATTGATTTTCCCTATATGCATATAGTAAAATAGATAAATACAGAATCCCTAAAGAAAGCCCAACACGGCAAAATTGAAAATGTTGCAGGCTCGGTTTGAATGAGCCAGTTCATGGACGGTACTGGAAAGTGCAAGTTACTGTCCACGCCCCCTAGCACCGGCTTAAGCAGAATTCAACATTAAAACACTAAAATGATGAAATTTTGAATTTGAAACTTAAAAAAATTTCTTTTAAAGAACCCAAAGAGCTAGAGCTACGATATTTAGCATGAAACATCCTCTAATGGGTGTCTACCAAGTTTGTTCAAATAAAAGCCCTGGGGTCAAAATTGGCCCCGCCCCAGGGGGTCATTGAATTCCCTATATGCATATAGTAAAAACTTAAAAAATCTTCTTTTAAAGTACCCAAAGAGCTAGAGCTAAGATATTTAGCATGAAACATCCTCTAATGGATGTCTACCAAGTTTGTTCAAATAAGAGCCCTTGGGTCAAAATTGGCCCCGCCCCAGAGGGTCATTGATTTTCCTTATATGTGTATAGCAAAAACTTTAAAAATCTTCTTTGAAAAAAAACCAAATAGCTAGAGTTTCGATACTAAGCATGAAACATCTTCTAGTGAGTGTCTACCAAGTTTGTTTTTATAAAAGCCCTTGGGTCATAATTGGCCCCGCCTCAGGGGTCATTTATTTTCCTTATATGTGTATATAGCAAAAACTTAAAAATCTTCTTTGAAAAAACTCAAATAGCTAGAGTTTAGATATTAAGCATGAAGCATCTTCTAGTAAGTGTCTACAAAGTTTGTTCAAATTAAAGCCCTGGGGTCAAAATTGGCCCCGCCCCGGGGACATTGATTTTCCATATATGTGTATAGCAAAAACTTAAAAATCTTCTTTGAAAAATCCCGAATAGCTAGAGTTTAGATATTTAGCATGAAACATTTTCTAGTAAGTGTATACAAAGATTGTTCAAATAAAAGCCCTTGGGTCAAAACTGGCCCTGCCCCAGGTGTGTCATTGTTTTGAACTATATGTGTAAAGAAAAAACTTGACCGGCTAGACCTTAGATGTTTAGCATGAAACATCTTCTAATGGGTGTCTACCAAGTTTGTTCAAATAAAAGTTTTGGGATTTAAACTGGCCCCGCTCCGGGGGGCCTATATACAGGTGAGCGATTTAAGGGCCATCATGGCCCTCTTGTTTATTTATTTGTCTTTGCAATAATAGATGTATTTAAGGTGCTTTAAGAAGTGGAAAAATCAAATTGTTGTTTATTTTCTATAGTGAAGTCTACTTAATCTTTCATATTGTATTTATTTTAATGTCCCATATACATACATGTATTTTGTAATGTTATTTATTTATTTCTATGCATATACACATTTTATTCAATTTTCTCCAATGTCTATTTAACAATTCCTATTTCATGTTTATTTGTTAATGTTTATAACATATTATATGTACAGTATTAAGTTGAATGAAACAAACATATAAATTAACATTACACAAAATGTAATTCTATTAAAGGTATACAGATACATTTTCACAATGAGTGGGAATTTTTTATATTTGTTGAAAGTCCAAGACACTTAGCATTTCCTCAAACTATTGATCATTGCAGGTTGACCTAGAAATAGAAATATAATTAAACTGCCTGTACGTTTGTAAATTGCAACTAAGCTTGCCTTTTTTCACTAGTCTGTGTTATACAATAAAATAACACACTGTCTTCTATTTTTATTTCACCAAAATGCTCTTGAAAATGACCTAAAAGAAGAAACAAATCACGTTCAGGGGAGATAACTAAAAAAGAAATTAGATGGTGACCAACAAAATTTTTTTTCATCAAGTTATTAGAATCATGGATTTCGTTTATTATGCAAAGTTTAAAATTATTCTCTCATGTCTCTGCGCTTGTTTTAATTTTTCATTTGTGCGTTTGTACGAAAATTGAAGGAATTTGATTGTAATTGTATTGATTGGAGTTGTCAGCAAGGCAAAAGAAACGCCTCAAATAGAAAAATCACAAAATACCACAGTCATGTTAACTTATTTATTTATCAAAAGTCACAATGACATGGCACATCACTATTTTATATATAAGTTTTATATAAAAGTTTTGTCAAAAAAGGTTTTGTCATAAAACATGTTTGAATAAAATTATTAAACTTGGAAAAGTTTAAAACTTGGAAAAGTTTAATAAGCATGTACATGTAGCGTTACTTATCACTATTTACAATGTGCTTACAGTTACAATTATGACAAATTTCAATGAAAATGCATATAATCATTATGTTAGTGACCATGTTATTTTTACAATAAAAAAAGAAAAGATATGGATTGTTTTTTGGTTTGGATTTGCTGACTACTTTGCCATCAGATATTATCTTTTTTCTTTCTCTCCACAGTCTGTTTATTATCTGCCCTTTATCAGCATTTTTTAGGCTCTGCAAAGTTGATAGGAATGTCAAAAAAGGATATGGTTTACATAGTTTATGGTATAATAAAGAAAATGAAAACTTTAAAATGTACACATGAATATCTGTGACAGAAACATTTCTTTTTTCTAAATGTAAGATGATTATTTGGTTTAAACAGTATTTATTTTTTCTTCCATATTTTCAAACAAAATTTCAATACTTAACTAAATTGCATCCAGGATTGAGTAGAAAGCTTAAAGCTTATATGAAATAACAACAGATGATTATTTGCATGTATAACATTTACTATGTGTTTCACTTTTCAAACAAAGCTCGTGTCTAATGATAATCATCCTGCTTAGTGGATTTGCCCTGCTTTTAACTTTGAATAGTCCATTCTAAGTTAAGGGAATTTCAATATCAAAAAACCAAATCTGAGCTGCCAACAGTATCGAACCTGGTCAGACTGCATAGATGTGCAGTATTGTCTAGCTATTTACTGATGGCAAAGACTAATCATTATTTTGTTTCAAGTAGGTTAAGTGTTCACCTTTTATGACCTCTTAGTGACTGTTCTATTCTGCAGGTTCTCCAGGTACAGTCTGCATGGCAACCCCTTCCGGTGCTATTTCTATGTGACCAGTTTCTTTCTTGCAGCACTTCCTAGATAAGTATGGAAACAACATTAGTTAATATAGTTTTGTCCTAGGAGATCTTTACATTTGTGCTTATATTGTTAGCTATAAAGATTTTTGACAGATTATATGGCCCAATATATTAAGATGTACACTTAAAAAACCGAGTGAATAAAACCATTTTACATGGCCATATAACCTGTAAAAACATTTAAATAACGAATTTATAATACTGCATAATTGTTAACCAGGTTTTCCGAAGGAAAAAACTGGTTATTAGATTGAGGTATGTCGGGGTGCAAATGGGCAGGCGGACGGGCGGGCGGGCGTAAACAATTTCTTCTGTGCACAACTCCTCCTACATTTCTCAACGGATTTTGACCAAACTTTCACAGAAGCTTTGTCATCAAGTGCCCTGGCGCATATTGTCGGGGTTTTGCCATTGGATAATATTTGACCTAATTATGGCCCTTTGTTGTTTTTTCTTATATAGAATATATAGTGAACAATTTCTTCTGTGCGCAACTCCTCCATCATTTCTCAACGGATTTTGACCAAACTTTCACAGAAGCTTTGTCATCAAGTGCCCTGGCACATATTGCCAGGGTTTGCGATTGGATAATATTTGACCTAATTATGGCCCTTTGTTGTTTTTTCTTATATAGAATATATAGTGAACAATTTCTTCTGTGCGCAACTCCTCCATCATTTCTCAACTGATTTTGACCAAACTTTCACAGAAGCTTTGTCATTAAGTGCCCTGGCACATATTGTCAGGGTTTTGCGATTGGATAATATTTGACCTAATTATGGCCCTTTGTTGTTTTTTCTGATATAGAATATATAGTGAATTGGGCAATTCCTCCATCATTTCTCAACGGATTTTGACCAAACTTTCACAGAAGCTTTGTCATCAAGTGCCCTGGCACATATTGTCATGGTTTTGCGATTGGATAATATTTGACCTAATTATGGCCCTTTGTTTTTTTTCCTTATATAGAATATAAAGTGAACAATTTCTTCTGTGCGCAACTTCTCCTACATTTCTCAACGGATTTTGACCAAACTTTCACAGAAGCTTTGTCATCAAGTGCCCTGGCACATAATGTCAGGGTTTTGCGATTGGATAATATTTGACCTAATTATGGCCCTTTGTTGTTTTTTTTCCTTATATAGAATATATAGTGAACAATTTCTTCTGTGCGCAACTCCTCCTACATTTCTCAACGGATTTTAACCAAACTTTCTCAGAAGCTTTGTTATCAAGTGCCTGGCACATATTGTCAGGGTTTTGTGATTGGATAATATTTGACTTAATTATGGCCCTTTGTTTTTTCCTTATACAGAATTAAATAAATTCTTCTGTGCTGAACTCTTCCTACATTTCTCAACAGATTTTGTTCAAACTTTCACAGAAGCTTTGTCATCAAGTGCCCTGACCGTTGACGCATATTGTAGAGGTTTTGTGATTGGATAATTTTTGACCTAATTATGGCCCTTTGTTTTTTTTCCTTATACAGAATATATTTTTTCCTTATACAGAATATATAGTGAACACTTCTTCTGTGGCAATTCCTCCTACATTATTCATGTTTTACTTTGCACATAGTTACATTGTTTATAGCTTGTATTTGTATTTCAAATACAACATATTTATCTACAATGGAGATAATTGAAAACCTGGTTTCGTGGCATTGCCATGTTTCTTGTTTTTGTTGTATTGAAATAGAAAACAGTTCATATGATATTTGCAGCCGTAAATATTTGTATATGAATAGTATAAACATCACATTTGTCCAATGAAAACCGATGTTACAAACATTCTGCATTGTAAACATTACTTATATACATGTACTTGCAAAGTATCATATTCTGAGCAGTTACCTAAAACAAAAATATGAACCCGGAGAATAACTTAGAACCATTCATATTTCTTATTGTTGTAACAGTGATTTTAATAAGCTTTTGTATGACATGTTCAGTTTTATAGTGTAACCATGTACATTGATCAAGTTTACAAGATACAAGAAGTTTTATTCTAAGTCAGTTAACAAATTATAAGCTTTTTACCAACAAGAACCAACATTTACGTATAACAATATTGAAAAGTTAATAGTTATTGGTTATTTAATTAAATCAAATGGTTGCAAGTGCAATTTGTTCACCTTGTGTGAAACCCCACATGTTCATATAAGCTAAAGACCCGCTAGTGTCTATAAGCTGAAGAAACGGCTTAACATTGATGTTTTCCTCTGCCAGTAGAGCTTTATCAATACTTGTACCAATGTTGATGGGACCGCTGGTGACCGCTGATTCTACCCACATGACCAGTACAGACCAAGATTTGCCCTAAATTTTCATTCCGTAAGATCATTATTTGTACTGTCCGCTATTCTGTCAGTACTTTATCAACAGTTTTAATAATGTTTGTCCAAATTAAAAGATATTTGCAATACATATTCATTTGTTTATTTAGCGTGGTATTAATCAAGGGGAAAACTTAGGTACAAACGAACGCCTCTGTCCATAATCATGTAGAGATAATTCTGCTTTTATGAACGGTGGAAATTTACCACCACATTGTTGTATTATTTGTAAGGCTGGAAAGGACCTAAAGTTTAATCCGCCAGCCTTTTTCAAGCTAGATCAGGGAAGTTCCCAAGTTGACTTGAGTTTACTTACCTTCTAACACAAACAAAAACTACTGCTATTATCGCATTCAGTAGTAAAAGTCCAACAATAACTCCAGCAACAAAACCTGAAAAAGGGATATCAAAACAATAGAAACCAATTGAAAGGACATCAAGGCTTTTTACACGGGGGCTGGAAATATTCTTTCTTGATTTGTGAACCATTTGATATAGGATCAAATAAATAACATTTTTGTGTCATTTACTTACTTTAGCATCTTAATGTAGCGATGAAAAATATTGTATAGTGTTTTACGCTTTTAACCGAAATTCAAATCGGTCTTAGATTTGCACAAAAATACGATTTTAATCTGTTTTATCAATTTTTATATTTTCAAAATGCCGTGGTTGATATATACATGTATAATTATATGTGTAATTATTTCCAATATTCTGTGTTAAGGTTTTTGGACCTAAGTGGTGCTCATTTAAAGTGACAATGTCTTTAATAATCGTCTTGTCTAAAACACCTTAGTCTAAAGTGTATCCATTTTTACATGTAGCATCATCTTATATAATATCCACTACAAAGTTTATTAAAATAATATTTTACAATTCAAAACTGTTCCAGTGCTAGGGATCATTTATTTTCCCTAAATTTATGGGTTCTCCCTGTCTTGAAATGCATAACATAGAACTTGGATTGTTCAAATGATTCCCTAAACGTAAAATGCATATATATACTTGTAATGCCCGGATGGTATTTATTTTAGTTCCGTTATGTTTAAAGCTTTCAGCTATTGAAACACATTCAAATCCGTTCCTGGAACTAGTAAGTACTTTAAGCAGTGCGTGAAAGTTTCTTGTTCATGGAAACAGCAACTTGCCTCTGACAAGCTTTGTACCTACGCGGCTAGCAATGCTTAGATCTAGTCCAATGGTTTAACCACTCTACCACGTCGCCACTTCGTTACTTATTTCCCTTATTACGTATGAGTATACCTTTCAAAATATTCCTTATCAGAACTAGCAAAGTGAATTATAACTTGCATTATTCCATTGATAATCTCGAGACATGTTGTTTTAATTGTAAGAACATTAACATATTTTTGTTCATGGCATATAGCATTTTGAAATTTGTCGACATGTAGAATTAAGGGTCTTGTCCACCTTTCAATATTAGAAACATATACTCCAATTTTGATAGTGTCACGAACAAACCTGTACTATGACCTGTACATATCAACATAGTGGCTGCAAATTTGAAATATTATGTGACTGAAGTCCGAACATGCTAAAATTTTGCTGAATCAGGGGACATAACTCTGATACTCTCCAGTATGTTTGCGACAACTTCCTAGCTATGTTAATTCACATGATTTAAAATATTCTGAGAAAGTTCTACAAGTGATACTTGTAGAGTAACATGCGAATAAAGTTTTAAATGCTAATTTTTGTGCTTTATTAGAGGCCATAACTCCGCTGATCATCAATAATTTGCTTTAAAGAAACCTCCATGTGCACCTGGTTTCACTTATTTTCAGAAAGTTAATTGTCCCGAGAAGGTAATATTTTTAAAGTTACACGCACTTTTAGAGTTTTATCCATGCAAC